TATTTTACTTGATGAGGGTAAAGACACCCTTACCCTTTCTATTGAGTTCATAAGTAAAACAGGTTTTTTTAATGTTTGTAATATAAACAATGACTATTCCAATAATACACTTTTTCTTTTTATGAGATGATTGAAATACAGTTTCATTTCTTTCCTTATAAAAGTTACTTTGGAGTTAAATACTTTATACCAAGAAAATTGGTACCATTCTGGCTTTTAATAGTGGAATGCATTATATAGGTTACACCATCTGCTCCCAAACTTATTTTACCCACCACTCCCCTTAAAGAAAAAAAATTAGTGCTGCTCTGGCAATAAAACTTCTGTACTATAGCTTATAATCTAGGATGAAGTATAGGTATCTGCTTCTTTAGCCTCCGCCCATCCAGGGCTATCCCGTCAAGAGCTAGTTAGATCCACTTTGGAAAACACTGGGATGCACAAAGATCTTAACATGCTTTTTTTAAACAGAGCTTTATAAGTCTCATATCTCCCATTTATTATTTTAGCTATATTCTATTCAATGTTAATGTAGAGATATGAGTTGACCACCCTTTTTGCTCTCAAAAGGAAAAAAATAACATTATCTAAACATAAAAATATCTATTAAATTTACTCTCACAATCACATTACTGTGTTGAACTTCTTTTAAACCTTCTGTATTGTACTGCATTCCTAGAATTGTAAATTTGGATTTATAACAATATTATGACCCTGAAAAGCATTGTTTATTTTGTTTTTGCTGAACTTTGATAGGTAGATGTAACCACCTTGCCAAAGCAGTAATAATTCTTTTGATCTTGAGTTTTCAAAATTAAGGTAAACTTTGTTCATTTGCTTATTTGCATCAGTACTTGTACTTAATGTTTTTTATATGATTAAGAGAACATTGGAATAAGAGACTTGAATCGTGACATTTCTACTTGTAGTTTTTCATAATTGGCAAATACTAAGCTGTGTGGCTACTAACTACCTTATATTAATAGGCTTAAGTCCTGTTCTTTCTTGTTTTTACATCGTTTTAAAGTAGGCTTGGAATCAGTTACCTTCTATTTTATCATCCTTTCTTTTACCACCAAGAAATAATTCTGTTTCACTTGCTCTTCTTGCCTTTATGATGTCTTTATGTATACTAGGCCTTACATGAATTCTTTAATAGGATGAAATTTAAAGGCAAGCTATTTCTTTTCCATTATTGACAACATCCCAAACAACATTAATAAGCACCAAGATGTATATTTCTTCTTTTTTAATGAACCAGAAATAAAGCTTGTTTTCTTTTTGAGGCAGACCAGTTTTTGTTATATTTACTTCTTAAGCAGAGCCCTTACTTTTAGAGTGTTATTTCTCTTATGCTTAAAAGGTAAATCTTCCTTGAGAAATCTGCTCTTCTTCTAAATTTTAACTTCATTTCTGTGTATGCTGGAAGGTTTTTATTCCCTATGTAACAATTTTAATATTGAAGAGAGAAAATTGCTACTACTACAAAACATTTCTTTGGAGCATGCAAATAAAACAATTTGTTCTAGATCAGTGGATACCGGAACAGAGAAGAGTTATTTCTTACCTGATAATGTGTGTGTGTTCCGATTCTGCTAATCCAGAAATAATCCAATCCCATTTGTTGAAAATCATCCTTAGTTGTATTTGTTAGGGAGTCATCTCCCTGTTAATTTTCTAAAATTCAGTCCCTAGATGTGCTTTAGATAGGGTAGAATTTTTACCTCTTTCAGAACACTGCTAAAGAAGTTTTCAACTGGAACATAGTCTGAAGAAGCACTGAGAGCAAAAAATTTCAGAGTGGTGATTGGCCACCTCTGTTTGATTGACAGGTTGCAGGGAGAAACCCATTCGTTCTGGATTAATGGAACTGGAAAACAGAAAACAATTATCAGGTAAAAAAAATCACCTTTTTTTTAACCTTTGAAATTCATCATTAAAAAGATGAGTCAGACCACCAGGGAATTTCTTGCTTAAAAACATTTGTGTGATCTGAGCAATGATCTCTGGCTACTATTTCCAAAAAATTACAAAAAAAAAAAAATCGGTTCCATTACTAAGCATTGAACAGCATTCACAAATAGGGTCGTGATTAAATGGAGAAAGATGGAATGTAAGCACAATTGCATTTTAAATCTGTTTTTGAAGGATGGAGCAAAATCCTGTGGGTGGGGGAAGTTCTTATATTTTCCGAATTGTGTCTGGTTTATGGATAAACAGATTACTTTGTTTTTCCAGGAGATTGATCTGGCACTTTTCATGAATGTTAACAATTTTTTTTCCACGGTTTTATTTGTTATTCTTTATCTTCATTATAATGGTATGCATCTTTTGTCATATAGTTTTAGTAACTAGTGACCAGTTGTTAATATTTTAATGGCAATTTTTGATTCTTGACTATATATATTTCAGATTGAAGGCCAAGGACATGGTGCAGTATTTGACTGCAAATGTTCTCCTGATGGTCAGCATTTTGCATGTACAGACTCTCATGGACATCTTTTAATTTTTGGCTTTGGTTCCAGTAGCAAATATGATAAGGTAGAGTATGATGAATATGCATATTATTTATTTTTTTAAATCTATGGATGTTTACAGATTGCATTTTAGAGGATGGGTGAGAATCACATGCATTCAACATAAAAGTTGGGATAAAGGCATTTTAAATCGTTCACAGATTTCTGGTTTTAACTAACACAAGAGTGAAGACAGCAGTTGGTATATTATTTAAAAATCTGTATAGGCTTGAGTTAATAACTTATCCTGCTAGAGCCATCTGCAGTAGAATACTTGAGACATAAACTTGGAATGGGTGTTCATAGGGATTTCGATAAATTCTGTGCTATATAGATAATATGCATTTATCTGGGGTAGAAATTCTGTCTTTCATTATGAGTAAAAAATATATGGCTTAGAAATTTATGGTTAGTAACTAAATTTTGTAGATTTTAAAACTAGTAATTAAAAGACTTAAACTGCCTTTTTTATGGTACAATCACAAAAAGGGTTATGGAAGTTAAAAATAGAATGTTATATAATTTAAGGAATTTCAAATGATCAATATTTTTTTAACTTATAGATGAGTCAGGGATACATTCATATTAATGATTTTATCTCAAAATTTTCTGAGAAAACATTTGTTAATGTTTAGAATCTTGTCATGTTAGTTTTAAAATGTTAATTGATTTACATGTGTCTACCATACTTTTCCAAAATTCTAAACGCTAAGTCTTAAAGTTACTTTAAGAGTTTGTAGAATAAATTTTAAATGATTTCCCTTTGTAAAACATTGAAATCGTTGTATTCAGTAATTTAAAGTAACTTAAAACAATCAAAATATTGCTGAAGAATTCATACTTTGATTTTTACTATTTAATTTTAAATTAACTTTATCTTTAATTGTCTTATGTTTACATTCTCATTGTGTTTGAGAAAATTTGAAATAGCTACTTTTTTTTAATGGTTACTTCATGATCATAAAAGTGATAATGTTGATTAGATAAAATAGAAAATCATTGAAAAGAAAATACAAATTTAATTCTACAGTATCTTTTGAGAGTGTTTTGTAATCCATTACACATATTTTAAGAAATCTAAAATTCTTTAACCCATTCCTTGAACTCCTAACTAGGGAAGGGAAGAAGCTTAACAGTACATCTCCCTCAGATTTTCACTGTAGCTTACATGCACAGCATTCTCATCCTTGTATAATTGAATCAACCTATTCATAAGTGTTTTATAAATATGTAAATAGAAATTATGTATTTAATAACTCATAACCGCCTGTAGAGTTATTAAGTACTGTACACATGGTTTTACACAGATGATTGAAGAAAAGAAAAAATTTTTAAATACCTTAGAAGTGTGTAGAGAATTTATAATTGTAAATTTTTATTGCTTTAATTTTTCGTGTGTATTGTATTTGTGTTTTTTACAGATAGCAGATCAGATGTTTTTTCATAGTGATTATCGGCCCCTTATCCGTGATGCCAACAATTTTGTATTAGATGAACAGACTCAACAAGCACCTCATCTCATGCCACCCCCCTTTTTGGTTGATGTTGATGGTAACCCTCATCCATCAAGATATCAGAGATTAGTACCTGGTCGTGAAAATTGCAGAGAGGAACAGCTTATCCCTCAGATGGGAGTAACTTCCTCAGGTTAGTGCTCATTAAGAGTTACATGATGATTAAGGGACATTGGATTATTCAAGCTATAAGATAATCTATATTTCTTTATAATTTCTGGGGTCTACTAGGTAATCCTGTATTTGTTTTTAAGTCAATTGTGATGATATGATTCAGCCAGCAATATTTTTTGATACCTTTAGCAGGTCCTGATGTTTCTACCAGCATCATTTTTGTTTCTACTTTGTAGCATGTTGATCTCTATGAAGAGTTATTTTATCACATTGAATTTTAGTTTTTTTGTTATTAAATGAAATAACATTAATACTTATAATTTCCCATCCCTTATACCTTTCTTAATCCTTCATTCTAGAATATCTGAGGTGTTTTCCCATCCCACTTCAACCCCATTATATCCCCAGTACCTGGCATATTTTTTTATGTATAGTAGCCACTCGAGAATTTCTTTACACATTAAGTCTGTAAGGATTTTTGTGAGAGTAGAAAATAATTAGATAGGTTTTGGTTTTTTGTTAATGTGATCTGAGTTAAGCTTGTATTTTTGCCACATAGCTATATAACTTTGGTCTTCATATCTGTAGAGTGGAATTAATGATAGCACTTATCTTATACAATTACATGATAAGATGGTAAGATCAGTGACCATTAGCTATCCTTTTTTTTTTAACTACATTTTAAGACTTAGAATGTTTTCTATTTTTTAACTCTTATTTATAGTTGATATAAATAATCAATTTGTTTAATTCTCTTGTGAGATTGATGACTAAAATAATTTGAATCATGACTAAAAGTATGCTTACATATGGCTTTTGTGTTAACACAGGACTGAACCAAGTTTTAAGTCAGCAAGCAAACCAGGAAATAAGCCCCTTGGACAGCATGATTCAAAGACTACAACAGGAACAAGACCTGAGACGTTCTGGAGAAGCAGGTATCAATAATACCAGCCGTGTAAATAGAGGTATGACTGATTCTGTTTTGTGTGGAATATTAGCAAGTTTGAGAGACAGCCTAAGCTTTCACCAATAGAGAAGTTATTAAACAAATTATGATATATCCATAAAATAGTAGTCTGTTTATATGATCATGTATGTAAAGCATATTTAAAGAATTACCAAAGATTTCTAATATTGAATAACATTTCTAGGATAATTTTCAATATGTATATTTTAAATTTCCTATGGTAAGCATGCAAGCATTAGAAAAATTAATTTATAATATATAGAATATACTTTTAAACCTTAGAATGTTAAAGCAATCTATGGCCTTAAAGTGTCATAATCCTATCTAGTTTGTGCTTCTTACCAAGTTTAATAATATATTTTTTTACATTATCTTGGGTTTAACGGTTTATAGTTATTGTATATTAACTTACCTAGTTGTCTGTATGTTCTGTTTTCATTATTCTTTTGGATCTTGTTTAGTTCCTGATGTGTGAGGTAGTATAGGTTTTGTTGTTGTTTTTGTCTTTTGATGAAACTAATGGAGACATTTCTAACTAGGACATGCTATGTTAATTTTGTCACTCAGGCTCTATAAGTTCTACCTCAGAGGTTCATTCACCTCCAAATGTAGGACTGAGGCGTAGTGGACAAATTGAAGGTGTACGGCAAATGCACAGCAATGCACCAAGAAGTGAAATAGCCACAGAAAGAGATCTTGTAGCATGGAGTCGAAGGGTGGTAGTACCTGAGCTATCAGCTGGTGTAGCCAGGTAAGGGAAGTTGTAAATTTTTATGTACCATAGTTGCTTGTGTTTATTTTTAATCAGTCTTTAGCATGGCTTCTTAGCTCTATAATTTGTTTTAATTTTTATCACAAAAGCTAGTATTCTGAAAAATTAATATTCCATCAGTTTCCTTTTTTTAGGAATCCTGTAAATGTTATTAGATAAGATGGGTTAAGGTAAAAGAGAGAAGTCATAAATTTGGACTAACCAATTTGATGTTTTGACCTTAAGTGCCTCCCCTTCCCCCTTTCTTTTTTAACATTTTATTAGGGGCTCATACAACTGTTATCCCAATCCATACACACATCAATTGTGTACCACTTCCCCCTTTCAAAAGCAAACAAACTCAACTGCCATTGAGTCAACTCAACTCAAAGGGACCTGATAACACAGGGCAGAATTGCCCTTATGAGTTTCAGAGACTGTACACCTTTTTAGATGAGAAGAAAGCCTCATGGAGCAGCTGTT